GAAGAGATATAGGGCTAATACGTATATTGTTCTCATGATAGTATACACAATAAGGGAGCTTGGACTCGTCCAGGAATAGGTCAAGGGAGTGACTATGGAACTCCTAACCATGCAGGGCAGTGAAGGGGGCCAACACCCTCTCATTCCCCTACAGTAACCTGAGTACTTTCAAATTGTCTTCTCAGCATTTTTTTGAGGTAATTATTTAATGACACAGGAAAATAACATGTTATGAAACAAGCTGGTTATAAGTAGTAGGTAGATGACTTCATTTTTGATTAAAAAATTAAAAGACACAAGCATGCACATAAAAAATAGATTATGCACAAAATACCAACAGCATTTAATTCTTCTCAGCATTTTTATGTTTATCTTAAAACTTTAATTGATAGTAAGATTTTAGATCTCAGACCCTAGACTCTTGCAGCTAGTGACATTACTCCACTTTCTAGTGCTGCCTAAATTCCTCTCTTATCCACTGACAAAGTGGTCTCTAAACTCTGTTTGAATATTTACAGTGATAAGGAGTTCATTGCCTTTCAAAACATCTCACTCTGTATTTGTACAGCTTGATTGGCTAGAAAGTTACTCCTCACATTGAGACAAACTCAGTTTTTCTGTACCATTGACATATGCAGTCCTAGAGAGACTTTTGTTTCTACCCAAAATAGGCTTGTATGACCTCTTCCATATAGCAACCTTCTTGAAGGCAATTATCATAGGGTTTTCGATATATCCTCTAGGCTAAACATCAGAAGTTTCTTCAGTGTCCCTTTACGTGACATGGCTTTAAGAAGTTCATTGACATTTTGTTTATTCTTAAATTCTCTGGTAGCTAAGCCAAACTTATTTCCACATGCACAAAAGATGAATGGGTGGTAAGACCTGGGGTCCTAAACTTGCAAATGGATTAACATATGTGTTAAGTATTTTTACAACGGAAAACACTTCGTAAACATCAGATACTATTAAAACCTATCTACCTCATAGAAGGAAACTTGACACAGCATATCAGAAACTTGCAACTCAAAATATGGTCTAAGGGTACACCTGGCATCACCTGGAAGCTTGCGAGAAACAATTTCAGGCCCACCTTATATCCATTCAATCCCCCCTGCATTTTATCATTTTAACAACATCTCCAAGTGTTTCATATGCACATTAAAGTCTGAGGAGATCTGTAAACTTAAAAATGGGAAAATGCTTTCACTAAGCAATTCTTGTTTTAGGTATTTATCCTGAGAAAATGATTAGGCTAAGTACACAGCATTTTTATAACAACAAAAGTATACAATGAACTGAAAGGTCCACTATTAGAAAATTAACCAAAGTGCTTTATGGTTCATCTATGGATACACCATTTGCCAGCCAGAGCTAACTTACAAAGCAAGCTGGTTCTTAGCTGGTGCTGGTGCCTAGAAGATGCCTGCTTCTCAGTTAATGCATGCTACTGTGAACATAGATGTATGTTTAGGTGACACAAAAGGGCATTAATATCCCCACATCAGTTATCCCTGGAGGAGAACTAGGACATCTGCCTCTATCATCTTTCAAGGGTTCAGCCAGTTTAAAAGTTTGCTTCTGGCCCTGCCTGCCGCACCTCTCCTTTCTTCTCTATCTCCAGGTGAAGCCGCACGCCCGGCTTGGAGCACAACCTGTGCTCTTCTCCTCCTACCGCAAGGTGTTCAGGGACGGCTCCCGCCTGTCCGCGCGCCTCTCCGGAGCCGGAGGCTTCCTCTCGCAGTCGCTGTCCCGCTGCAGTGTGGCCTCCTCAACCGCCTGCTCCTCGGCCTCGTAGCTCGGCCTCAGCCTGGCCTATCGCCGGCCGCCGGCGTCCGACGGGCTGGACCTGAGCCAGGCGGCGGCGTGCACCAACGAGGAACAGCAGCTGCAGGGACTCAATGACCGCTTCACCTGGTTCACCGAGAAGGTGCAGCAGCTGGAGACGCAGAACCGCACGCTGGAGGCCGAGCTGCCCGCGCTGAGGCAGCGCCACGCCGAGGCTTCGCGCATTGGCGAACTCTTCCAGCGCGAGCTGCGCACGCAACTGGAGGAGGCGAGCCCGGCGCGTGCTCAGGCCCTGCTGGAGCGCCACGGGCTGGCCTAGGAGGTCCAGCGGCTGCGGGCGCGCTGCAAGGAGGAGAGCCGCGGATGCAAAGCTGCCGGGCGTGCCCCGAAGGCGCAGTAGCGCCACGTGGATGGCGCCAAGCTGGCCCGCCTGGACCTGGAGAAGAAAGTAGCTGAGCTGCTGGCCACGCTGCAGGCGTCGTCACAGGCCGCGGCGGAGGTGGACGTGGCTGTGGCTAACCAGACCTGAGCTCGGCCCTGAGGGAGATCCACACCCAGTGTGAGTCCCTGGCTGCTAAGAACCTGCAGTCTGCAGAGGAATGGTACAAGTCCAAGTTCGCCAACCTGAACGAGCAGGCGGCATGCAGCACCGAGGCCATGCGAGCCAGCCGCGAGGAGATCCACGAGTACCAGGGCCAGCTGCAGACGTGCACCATCGAGATCGAGGGCCTGCGCAGGGCCAACGAGCCCTTGGAGAGGCCGATCCTGGAGCTGGAGGAGCGGCGCAATGCCGAGGTGGCTGGCTACCAGGATAACATTGGGCAGCTAGAGAATGATCTGAGGAACACCAAGAGTGAGATGGCATGCCACCTTTGGGAATACCAGGACTTGCTCAATGTCAAAATGGCTCTTGACATTGAGATAGCAGCTTACAGGAAACTGCTGGAAGGTGAAGAGACACGTTTTAGCACCAGTGGGTTAAGCATTTCGGGGCTGAATCCACTTCCCAATCCAAGTTATCCGCTCCCACCTAGAATCCTCAGTTCTAACAACCTCCAAAATCTCATCCACTGGGCTATCACTTAAGAAAGAGGAGGAGGAGGAGGCATCTAAGGTAGCCTCTAAGAAAACCTCCCAGATAGGGGAAAGTTTTGAAGACATATTAGAGGAGACAGTAATATCTACTAAGAAAACCGAGAAATCAAATACAGAAGAAAGCACCATTTCAAGCCAAAAAATATAGTTCCATTGCTTTGAAAGAGTTAATGCTTAAGAGGGAATGATATGCATTTGACTTGTTAAACAGCCTATTCCTGAAACATAACACCTGCCACACCACTATGAAATGTCAAAAAAAAAAAAAGTTTGCTTCTATACCTAGCTATTTTATTTTCCCTGCATGATGGTCAGGTACAATTATTTTTAACAGGGTTCCCATCAATATGGTAACTAGATAAGATGCTGCAAAGATAACGTTGGAGAATTGTTACAGGCTGTTTACAAAATGTGTACCCAATTGTCAATGAAGTCACTTGATTTTTTTTTTCCTCTAAAAAAATTTTTCTTTTGTAACCTTTTATTTTACTTGTTTTTTAGAGACAGGGTCTCACTGTTACCCAGGCTGGAGTACAGTGGCACAATCATGGCTCACTGAGTCTTGACCTCCAGGGCCTCAAGCAATCCTCCCACCTCAGCCTCCCAAGTAGCTGAGACTACAAGTACATGCTGCAATGCCTGGCCAATTTTGTTTTGTTTTGTTTTGTTTTTTGTTGTGTTTTTGTAGAAATTAGGCCTCACTATGTTGCCCAGGCTGATCTCAAACTCCTACACTCAAGCAATACTCCTACCTCGGCCTCCCAAACTGCTGGGATTACAGGCATGAGCCACCATCCCTGGCCTTTTTTCGTTTTAACTGAGAACTGTGTTCAGCTCTTTTGTTCCTTAGTCATTGCTCATTACTTTTGTTGTGTCTGTTGCTTTTGTCTTAGAGTTGCTGCACTTACTACACAGAGAATGCCTTTTATCATTATCAAATTTATTTTGGGAAATTTCAGAGAAAATGTTTTTCTAGAACACCTTGTTTGACATTATAAAACAGCTCTTCACTCTCGCACTTCAGATCTCCCTTTCCAGCTTTCTTTTTCTCCATCATGGGCATTACCACTTGCTTTATTTTATTGATCAACTATTTGGCTCCCTCCACTACAAAGTAAACTCCACGAGGACAGAGAGTTTTGTCTCTCATTCATTGCTGTAACTGCAGCACTTAGAAAGTGTCTGGCACCTATGAAGTGTTCAGTAAATATTTATTGAATGAATTTATATAAAACATCTCAGAGTCCTAAGAGACACTGGTCTTTTGCGGTTAGATAATAAAGTCCTTTACCTCATCATTTAGACTCTAAGGTACAAAAGGGTGTTCTAGTCTCCTGAGTTGGTCTACTAATAAATGTTAACACTAACAACTGAAGTAGTTAACAGAGGTAATTATCCAGTTCTACATCAAGCCGAAAAGAGAGCAGTGGATAGAAAGATCTTAGAAGTTCCACTAGGTTCATCCAAGCCACCATACACATAGACAGAAAAATCAAAATAAGATATGTGTCTGGACAGGGTGAGCAATCTAAGAAAAGATGAACACAGTATACTAGGACCAGAAATCATCAAGTGTATGAGAACTAAGCCAGAACAGAAATGTGAATTCCATCATATCAGGGACATAATCTGTCTTGTTCATTCAAGCATGGTAATCTGCCAGAAATAGTGCTTAACTCTAAGTACTGAATATTTGTTAGACCGATAACTAAACCATCAACTGAATGAGATTTATGCAACCACGAAAAATGCTGCTGTAGGTGCACAATATTGATATACTACAAAGTTAAAAAATCAAATTGGAAATTAGACTGCTATTCCACTTTTGGGTGCATCTATAAATAGGTAGAAGGATATACCAAAATGTCAAAAGCAGTTATCTCTGGGTGGTGAGATTGGGAGTAATCTTAACCTTCTTGCTATTTATCCTTATTTGTTCATTTGTGAATTAATATTTATACATCATTATAAAAAGGATTTTTAATGTGTGAGAGTATATGTTGCTACACATCTAAGAGAATATGCTGTTACTATAAAGACACTGCATCACTACTGTTGACCTTAGAGCATATGCCTCTTGCCTAATTCTAGAACTCCTAGCTAAGAAAGAGTTTCAGCTGGAAGAATACTGGAGGAGTAGGGAGCTCCTCCCATTTCTCACAGCCACCTCCAACTCTTAAAAACACTTCCAACTGCCTCCCAGCACACAACCCAGGAAGAAAACTAGTCTGTAAAAGAGACGGTGCCAAAAGGCAAAAACAAAGGTAAGGATGATCGCTGGGGAAATAAACTGAAAAGGAAAAGCTCAGAACTCTAACTGGAAATTTGGCTCACATCCATAGTATGTTACTGCATAGTTTGGCTTTATTGAATGGGTCGCTTTTATATGTTAAAGCAAGATGTAAGCAAGGTTTGCAACAAAGTCCATAAGACAACTCAGCTTTTTACAGAGGCAAGAAAATAGCAGGATTTTTGACTGGTACTTTATTCAGTAGTGCTGCTTATTAAATTACCACTGTGACAATGTTTAAAGCCAATTACCTAACCAAATCATAAGGATTCTCTTACCAGTTGTCCCAGTTAAGTAACGTCTATTGATCAACTCCTTGACAGGAGCTGATGGCAAAGAAGGTAGCTGTGATTGGAGCTGGGGTCAGTGGCCTGATTTCTCTGAAGTGCTGTGTGGATGAGGGACTTGAGCCCACTTGCTTTGAGAGAACTGAAGATATTGGAGGAGTGTGGAGGTTCAAAGTAAGTGAGATTTTCTTGGGTCTTGAATAGTTGTGTTGTTATTTCAGGGTGAATCATAGTTACTAGTGGGCCATATTGAGAAATTTATTAAACAATTTTGATGAAATTTATTTCTATTTATTGATGTGGCCATGTGGGAACTAAAGTCATAGGCTAACATCCCTCCCAGGTCAATACTAACCCAACTCAGGTAGCCAACTCAGGCATGTAAAAAATCTCTTCTTCTGGATTCAGCAATTGTCTTATAGCCCATACTTCTGGGATTACAGGCATGCGCCACCATGCCCAGCTAATTTTTTGTATTTTTAGTAGAGACGGGGTTTCACCATGTTGACCAGGATGGTCTCGATCTCTTGACCTTGTGATCCACCTGCCTCAGCCTCCCAAAGTGCTGGGATTACAGGCTTGAGCCACCGTGCCCGGCCTAAATGCTTCTTTAGAGACCCTCCTCTTATCATTACTATTTTTTCTCTGACAAATGAACCATGTTTGTTTAGTAAACTTTATCAATGACATTCTAGTGTAACTGCTGTAAACTCTTTGTAAAATATGTTTAATTAAATTCATTTTATTAATGAAATCAAATATTGATAATGCTAGTTGTCCATATTCATCCGTCCTCATGTTGCTATGAAGAAACACTGAGACTAGGTGATTTACAAAGGAAAGAGGTTTAATTGACTCACAGTTCCACATGGGCTGGGGAGGACTCAGGAAACTTACAATCATGGCAGCAGGAGAGAAACTGAGCAAAGGGGAAAAAGAGCAATGCTGAGCAAAGGGGGAAAAGCCACTTTTAAAACCATCAGATCTCATGGGAACTCACTTACTATCAGGAGAACAGCTTGAGGGTAACTCCCCCCTTGATTCAATTACCTCCCACCAGGTCCTTCCCATGATGTGGGGATTGTGGGAATTACAGTTCAAGATGAGATTTGGTTGGGGACACAGAGCCAAACCATATCACTGTCCTTCACAATTTGTATAAAAATTAGAAACTTGCATAGATGGATAGCTATAAGGATTTATAATTATTCCTTCCCACAACCTCTGAATAGGTAGTAGCTTACCACCTTCTAACGGTGAGATCTTGAGCAAGTTATTTACATCCTGTGTTTCAGTTTACTCAGTTATAAATAGATATATTAATAGGAAAATGTGATTATCTCATAGTGCTATTTTGAATACTAAGGGAGACAATTTACATAAAGAACAATAGATAAGTTCCAGACTCAAAACAGTTCAATAAATGTTAGCTGCTAACAATAACCATATATTTTATAGATGTGCAAACTGAAAGGGAGTTAAGTGAGATGGCCAGGGCCACACAACTGGAGGAACTGGCATTCAAACCGGGGCCTCTATGACTTCTAAACGGAGGAGCCCTGACTTATAACCATGCCCTAACTTACAAAAGTTTAAGTTTAGAACCCAAAAGCAATGACTTTGGAATTATTTATCAGATATCTCTAACTGAGATACTAAAACACATGAGAATATTCCAGATGGGAGCAAAAGGCAAACTCATAACAGCAGAGACCATGCAAAGGGCTCTCACTGCAGGCTGACTAGTTAGGAGGATGGCATGGTGATCCAGGACCTGTGCTTTGGCATTTCAAATTGAATCTCACGCCAATGGGGATCTTTTTTATCATTTAACATTAAGTTTCTCAAGTACATATCACCATAAACCACACCTGGAGGGTTTTACTTTCTTTCCTTTTAAATTTTTTTGAGTCAAGGTCTTGTTCTGTCACCCAGGCTACCATGCCCAGCCATGGAGAGGTTTTTAAAGATATTGATTCCTTTGGTTAAACAAACCTGCCCCCCACCCCCCCACATACACACAATGCTGATTCATGGGCCCCAACCCACACCAACTGACTCACTCTTCTGGGGGTTTTTAATAAACATCTCAAATGAATCCTATGATAAGACAAGTTTGGTAATTTTCACACAAACACCTAATTTAAAAATCTGATCATTCAACTATCAACACACTCAGAATTAATAATAGAGAAGGAAGAAATTGATCTTTCTGTAAGACAGGTGGCCTTGCAAAAAGGAAAACAGCTTAAATCACATTCATTTCTTATTAAAATCTGGTGATTAACATCATTTTAGCTTTTCCTGGGATGGCCATATAATATGGTGGTCATTCCTGTCTTAACCAAAGATATTTTTGTCCACTCTAGGTTCACATGTAGATTTCAGTTGGGGTTTTCATGTTTGTTTTTTGTTTTGTTTTGCCCCCAGATAGATTCTTAACCTAAGAAGAAATGTAGAAATTACAGTTGTTCCCGGGCCAGGCGCTGTGGCTCATGCCTGTAATCCCAGCACTTTGGGAGGCCGAGGCAGGTGGATCACAAGGTCAAGAGATAAGACCATCCTGGTCAACATGGTGAAACCCTGTCTCTACTAAAAACACAAAAAATTAGCTGGGCATGGTGGCGCATGCCTGTAATCCCAGCTACTCAGGAGGCTGAGGCAGGAGAATTGCCTGAACCCAGGAGGCGGAGGTTGCAGTGAGCCGAGATGGCGCCATTGCACTCCAGCCTGGGTAACAAGAGCGAAACTCTGTCTCCAAAAAAAAAAAAAAAAAAATTACAGTTGTTCCCTGGTATTTGCAGGAGATTGGCTCCACAACCTCCTTCCACCAGTATCCCAAATCCTTGCATACTCACATCCCACAGATAGCAAAAGAGATGAGAGTCGGTTTGACTAGTCTGTCAACAATATGATTTGATTAATTCTACGAAGGTATTTTCTGCAGCAAAATATTTCTCCAACTATCCTATTGCTAGTATCTAAAATTTCAGATTAGAAATACCTTCCTATTCGCTAGAAAAATTGGATTAAACCCTGATTAATTAGGCTTTATTGAATATTAAATGTTAACTATATAACTGTGGAACTTGTAACAGTATCTATCACATTTCAAATTTTTCTTAAAAATATATTCAGTGGAAGAATGTAAACTACTGTCTCCACTCAGCAGAGTCAAAGAGTCCAAAGAATCTCCCTGCAGAGTGAAACATAAAAGCAGAAAAATTTCACAGGCTGCCTGCACTAGGGCTATGTGAGGGTCTTGATTTCCACGTGGCTAGGAGTTTCCAAGAAGGATGCTGGGAGTCCCTGCTCTTCCCTGGGACACTTTGCCTCTTCACAACTCTACCATCCAGAAGCAATTTTTAAAATGGGTTATTTATTGTTATATTTACACAAACCCTTCTGAGATTATGTAACACATTTGGTGGTGACAAGTTAATAAATACTCTTATCCTATGCCCAATCTAGACAATACAGAATTCTCCCAAACTCTCCAGCACCCCCTAGTGGCACATACGGACCATGGGCCAGCTAGGTAATTAGCATGTATGTTTGGCTGTTTCCAGCAATGGGAAGCACTTGGCAATCATCACCTCACTTTTCTTAAAAAACTGCTGGAAAGTATATATTATTATTATCTTTATTTACATATTAAGAAGAAATAGGTTTCAGATAAATAATTTGCCAGGGGAACATAGGTGGTAGGGGGAAAAAAATGAAAGTTTACAATTTCACTGCTCTCACACTTAATAAGCTTGCTGAAGTATTGATAGAGGAAAGCATGATCTTCTTTCAGCCACTGAACTTCTCTGCTTCTTTTATTGTTCCTAATACCCTGTATTCACAAGGGAGTTACCATGTACGTTTTTTTGTTTTTGTTTTCTTTTAATATCTGGATCTCCTCCTTTTCCAGGTATATATGTTTAGTTATTTTAGTTAATTTTCATGTAATACTCACTAGACATATCTCTATCTTGGTTTTCTTCCTTTAAGTTCAATCTGAAATATCACTTTCTCTCTTAAAATGTGGCTCCCCCCAAGATCCAATATTCCAAACATATTGCCAATAAATGTATACCCTGTACCCTGAAAGCAGCAGCAAAGATGGAACATACCTGAGCCAGGGAGCTTAATTAGGGAGGTCTATCACTGATCAAGGCCAGTGATTAAAGGAGACACCAGCCTAATGGAAAGATGACAGAAGATAGCAATATTCTAACAGAGATGTGGTTCGCAAAGTTCATTGTGCAGAAGCAGCTAGGAAACACTTTAAAAATAGAAATCTGGGCCCTTCTTTTTTTTTTTAGATGGAATGTTGCTCTGTCACCCAGGCTGGAGGGCAGTGGTGCGATCTTGACTCACTGCAACCTCCACCCCCAGTTTCAAGTGATTATCCTATCTCAGTCTCCTGAGTAGTTGGGATTACAAACTTGTACCACCACACATCTGGGCCCTTCTCCTAACACAGCTGGCCCACTGACTGTCATTTGGGAATTGCAGTTTTGCCTCTAATTGTAGGACAAGGAAGTAAGAAGAGTTCCAATCATATTCAATTCAAGTAATGGAGCAGATAGATATAAGGTCCATCTGAAAGACTAAAATTATAAAATCACAAAATATTTTTAAAGCAAGGCAATTTTATTATTTCCAACTGCTTATAGTAACTACCAATGAAAGCAAAATATTGATTGGTAGGGGTCAATATAATGATGTTTCACAAAGGAGAAGTTTAATCTATAAGTTTTTATAATTTACATTTATAAGTGAATCTGTTTCTTCTTTATAAATTTGCTTCCTTGAGTAGATTAAATATTACCCTTTTACTCTTCTTTAAACTTAGTTTAGTTTTTTCAATCCTTTTATTGTCATGAAGTCAAACATAAACTTTAATTCAGCCTATGATCAAAAGATCATAAATACATAGACATCTACTTCAGCAAACTAAATGTAGAAAGAAGCACATATAAAGACAAGGATTTTTTTTTTAGCTGCTACTTACCAATTAATCCAGCAATAAAAGATTATCACTTCATGTTCAGAAAAAGAACTGTGAGGTCACTATTGTTTGCTGACAAACTACAGAAGTAAAATCTCCCAAAGGCTGTTGAACAGTGAGAACACACGAACACAGGGAGGGGAACATCACATATTCCCCTCCTGTGGTTGGGGGACTAGGAGAAGAATATCAGGGGGTGGGGGGTTGTGGGGATAGCATTATGAGAAATACCTAATGTGGATGACAGGGCTATGGATGCAGCAAACCACCACTGTCCTACGTGATCTGCATGTGTACCCTAGAAATTAAAGTATAATAATAATGATTCTAAACAGCAACAACAAAACCCCCAAAGGCAAGTTTTGCCCTGGCCCTAAGATTACTGTAGGGCCTCAGACATCAGTTCTTCTCATCACTCAAAATTCCCTTAAAATTGACCTGACAAAGGAGCCAACCACATTTTAAAGCCAAATTGTTGGGTCTTTTAAAAACTAACATTTTTGGCTGTAGTATAACAGTCTTAGTTTAACTGATTCAAAACTACGGCTGGCTTAATAAATTTAACTCTAGTGGCTGATAATAACAGAAAAGAGATAAATATTCTTAAGCATGTATTTTGAGCCAGGCATTCTGCTAAGTACTTTATTCATGCTCATTAAAGCCTTGATACAATTGGTTCATGTTTAAGTTATTAACGAGCCCCACTTTACAGAGGAAAATGAGGAAGCTGATCTATGTAACTTGCTTATGGTCACAAAGCCATTAAAGGTGGCAGAATTAGGACATCAGCCCAGTCAGTCTGACTCCAGAACCCTCCTATTTATTTCTACTCTATACTACTCATAAAATTATTTGGTCTTGGGGCCGGGTGCAGTGGCTCATGCCAGTAATCCCAGCACTTTGGGGGGTCGAGGTGGGTGGATCCTTGAGCTTAGAAGTTTTAGACCTGCCTGGGCAACATGGTAAGACCTCATCTCTACAAAAAAATACAAAAAATTAGCTAGGTCTAGTGACACACACCTGTAGTCCCAGCTGCTTGGGAGGTTGAGGTGGGAAGATCACTTGAGCTCAGGAAGTTGTCCCTGCCATGAGGCATGGGACATAATCATGCCACTGCATTCCAGCCTGGGCCACAGAGTAAGACCCTGTCTCAAAAAAAAAAAATCTGCTCTTGAGAAAAAAAAAATAGTATTTTTTTGCTCCATAAAATATTTCCCATTTTGAAAACTTGATTAAGGAATTCGTTGTCTTGCCAGTGACATTACATTCAGTTATGCTGAAACATCCAGAAATAGCTTACACATCAGTCTGACTTCAGTATTATGCAATTTGAAGCCCATGTTTGAAAATGAAAATACTGTACCATCATTTGTTTATCCGGAGTTCAGATCATTATATCCTTGTGTATAATACAGAAACCCTTTTGTATTCTAGTGCAACCCTCTCTTTGGATCTTAATATGTATAGTTAGCAATAACACCATACTAAATTCTACCTACCTAAAAAGCTAGCATACCTTAACCTGATTAGCTTTTACCAAGCCACTTGAAATTATAACAAAGTTACCATTTAAACCTTGATTCTGGCCAGGCACAGTGACTCATGCCTGTAATCTCAGCACTTTGGGAGGCCAAGGCAAACCAATTGCTTGAGTTCAGAAGTTCAAGACCAGCCTGGGCAGCATGGCAAAACCCCATCCCTACTAACAATAAAAAAAAAAATAGCAGGGTTTGGTGGTACATACCTGAGCCCAGGAGGCTGAGACTGCAGTGAGCTGAGATTATGCCCTTGCACTCCAGCTTGGGCAACTGCAGTGAGACCCCATCTCAAAAAAAAAAAATATTGATTCTAGACCAGCATAAACACACTACTCAAGGAAAATGTACTATAGTAGTCATGGGTAAACGAAATGAATGACTAGAAAAATAGAGGGGCCAGCACAGTGCCTCATGCCTATGATCTCAGCACATTGGGAGGCCAAGGGAGGTGGATAGCTTGAGGTCAAGAGTTAGAGACCAGCCTGGCCAAAATGGTGAAACCCCATCTCTACCAAAAATACAAAAATGAACCAGGCATGGTGGTGTATGCCTGTAGTCCCAGCTACTCAGGAGGCCGAGGCAAGTTTAAGATTTAATCATATCAGTGTTACTAACCTTTATCACTTGACAAAGGTTGATTCGTGTAAAGGGATTCAAATCAAAATGTGCAAACTCCTTCCTCCAAAAGTACTCATTTTATAATACTGAAATTCTCTATTGTGTTCTCTGCCCAGTGTCCCAAGGTTTATTGGTTTCTAAAGAGGTAGAGGGTGTGTGCAGCCTCCACAAAGGGAATTAAGGAAGCAAGCCAGTTGTCACAAATTCTGGCATTAAATAGGTAGAGACCTAGGATGCTAGTATTTTGCTATGTGCCAAAATAATTGTCCCTGCCCCCACCCTCACTATTGCCAATATCTCCCCAACCCTTGCAGTGAGCATCACAAACAGGCAACAAACAGGTATCACCACAGAATGATGGAACACGTAGACTACACTCATCACCTAAATGTCGTCACACCACACAACAAAAGACAATCGAATCACCCAAGGGTTCGTTGTAGGACGAGTAGAAAACCAAAAAAAATTTTTTGAATGTGTAATTATCACTAATTATTTTATTTGATCCTTTAGGAGAATGTGGAAGATGGCCGAGCAAGTATCTATCAATCTGTTATTACCAACACCAGCAAAGAAATGTCCTGTTTCAGTGACTTTCCAATGCCTGAAGATTTTCCAAACTTCCTGCATAATTCTAAACTTCTGGAATATTTCAGGATGTTTGCCAAAAAATTTGATCTGTTAAAATATATTCAGTTCCAGGTATTGTATTTTTGGGGAATTGGGTTCTTCTACATTAGTTTAGCTCATATTTAAATAGGTAAGTTATTCTAATAATGAAAGCAATTATGAATAAAGTATCCCATTCTAAGTGTTTGTTGAAATATAAAAGGCGGATATAAAACCCAAAAAGTAGTATTATTACCCTTGATATTATAGATTATTTAAATTAACTGAAGAGAAAAATCATCTGTTAAAATTAAAGGTTTGAATAATGATATTGATGCCAAACTCTTTCTTTCTTTTCCGAGACAGAGTCTCACTCTATTGCCAAGGCTGGAGTGCGGTGGCATGATCTTGGCTCACTGCAACCTCTGCCTCCTAGGTTCAAGCAATTCTCCTCCCTCCCCAGCCTCCTGAGTAGCTGGGACTACAAGCACATACTACCATGCCTCGTTCATTTTTGTACTTTTGGTAGAGACAGGGTTTCACCATTTTGGCCAGGCTGGTCTAGAACTCCTGACCTCAAGTGATCCACCCACCTCGGCCTCTCAAAGTGCTGGGATTACAGGCGTGAGCCACAGCACTCAGCCCCAAAACTTCATTTAAATTAATATCTGTTACCATTAAATACGCCTGTCCTTGAAAGGGCATATATCAAAATTAAATTGCCATTTTGTTTTCTTCTCCATAGAAATGAGATTTCTTAGACATGACTAAATAAACTCCGTGCTCTCTGTTCATACGAGAAGGCTGTGGAAAGTATTTTTCTTACAATTTTTTTCTGAATGCAATCTCTAGCAACCTCAAGATGGCAGATCATTTTGAAATACAACTTGGAATTACCTTTTCCTGTGCTTCCTCAAAAACAAATAGCAACAAACAACAACAATTTCATTAAGCATGTTGAATTTTCATCAATAGTCTATACTTTGAGAAATAGTTAATGTGCTTAGAAAATAAAATATAAATCCCATTTCTAGGCCAGGTGTGGTGGTTCACGTTTGTAATCCCAGCACTTTGGGAGACTGAGGCAGGAGGATCACTTGAAACCAGGAGTTTGAGACCAACTTGGGCAATACAGTGAAAATCTGTCTCTACAACATTTATTTAAAAGATTATCCAGGCATGTTGACACACACCTGTGGTCTCAGCTACTCAACAGGCTGAGGAGGGAGGATCACTTGAGCCTGGGAGGTCAAGACTGTAGTAACTGGTGATTGTGCCACTGCACTTCAGCCTAGGCAACAGTGGGAGACCCTGACTCAAAATAACTAAATAATGCTTCTGGATAAGTAACTGTTAGTGAGGCTTACTTTTTTATTATTATTATTATTTTTTTTTTTTTTTTGAGACGGCGTTTCGCTCTTGTTACCCAGGCCAGAGTGCAATGGCGCGATCTTGGCTCACCGCAACCTCCGCCTCTCGGGTTCAGGCAATTCTCCTGCCTCAGCCCCCCGAGCAGCTGGGACTACAGGCACATGCCGCCATGCCCAGCTAACCCTTTGCATTTTCAGTAGAGATGGGGTTTCACCATGCCGACCAGGATGGTCTCCATCTCTTGACCTCGTGATCCACCCGCCTCGGCCTCCCAAAGTGCTGGGGTCACAGGCATGAGCCACCGCGCCCGGCCAGAGAGACTTATTTTTAATACACCTCATTGTCTTAGTAATTCTAATACTAGGCTTATATAATATTAACTCATAATGGTAAATTTTGATGAAAATTTGTATTTACAAATGCCATTAAGATGTGCAGTTCTACCAAATGTAGTTTTTCCCCAATTCCTAGTATAACTAACTTGTGAATAAGATTCTTTATACCAAATGATTCTGTAATTTTGTGCACTTAGCTATCAATCTACTTAACAAATATATTGCCCTCTTATGATATACAACTCATATTCCACTCTTTTAAAGATCATGTTAGAGCTGCAATGGAGTCATTTCTCTTGGTTATTGTATTACTTGTTTCTTGGAGAGTGAAGAGGGGTTGGGAAGACTCATTTCTGTTTACTGGTCTCTTAGTTTGTGTAAGTCATAGATATTAGGGTTCAACTCGAGAAGGAGGCAAACTGTAACAAGCCCTGTTATTTATGATTGTCAATGTAATCTACATCAGTCTTCCCAAACTTTAATGCACAGGTAAATCACCTGGAGATCTTGTTAAAAATGTAGGTTCTGATTTCAATAGATATGGGGTACGGTCTGAAATTCTGCATTTCTGACAAGCTCCCAGATGATACTGAAGATCCAGGTCCTCAAATCACATTTTGAATAGCAGGAATCTACAGCGATTCAGTTAATATATCACTGTGAACTACAATGTGAAATCTTTTCTCTCAGCTTAAAATTGCCCAGATATTTAAAGTCCTCCCACAAGATTTCTACTAATATTCCATACACATTTTTAAAATAACACAGCTTTAAAAATTCCCAACCCAGCATTTTGAAAAATATCTGAAAATATAAAATACATAAAAGACTAAAATACTCACAAAGGAGAAGCATGCCATTCTTCTACATTATAAACTTCGCTTCCACTCGACATTGTTTCTTAATCCAGCATTTATGTACAATTTTAGAAATTAACAGATCTCTACTGAGCTACATTAAAAAAAATCAATGAGCCAATAAATTATTTTATTCAAATGAGATCATGAACTGCCCTGCTCACATGATATAATCTGTTTTAAAAAGAATAAACATTAAAAACTAACATTCGGTGGAATGTCAACCATATGTCAGGCACTCTGCAAAGTGCTTTATATGAAATATCCTCTCTCATACAAAGTCCACACAGAGGTGGCTACACAAAAGATTCCTGACATATGCTAATTTCATGATCAATTGAATTATTGGTTCGTTTCCTTGTTCATACTATCAACCTAAATAACAGAGAGAGGCTCTTTACAAGATATTTGGTAATAGAGCATTGTAACTAGAATGTGCATGCCATGGTAAACTATGTGTGTAGTCAGGGAGTTAAAGGAAGCAAAGGTTTTTAAAGCAGAAAAAATACAATTACATAATTGTTTTGAAATAATTATTTAAATAATATAAAAAGCAGTAACAAAGATGATGCCAGTCCGAGACTGGTCAGTTACTGGGCAGATGTTCCTGTAGAAGTCGTTTTTATGTAAGATTATGATGGTCTTTGTGCAAGGTGATGGTTTTGGTAGCCTTTTTTGTTATCAGCCACATACCATGAGAACCCTCTCTTTCTTTCCTTTCCCACTTCTGTTTTTCGGGTTTCTTAACATTAGTAACTCCATCTGGATTCTGACAGCTTTCACAAGAACTTGTTTTTCTTTTCTCTCTCAAGTCCTTATTCAGTATTCAACACCCTTAGCAGACTGGTCCCACTGCTGAGTTGGGCCCCTTGCACGAAGCGCCAATGAGAAGAACACACTTGGCCTGTGTTATCCTGGAGTAATTCTCAATGATGTCTTCTCTGTGTTTCTTCAAGACAACTGTTCTTAGTGTGAGAAAATGTCCAGATTTCTCATCCTCTGGCCAATGGAAGGTTGTCACTCAGAGCAACGGCAAGGAGCAGAGTGCTGTCTTTGATGCAGTTATGGTTTGCAGTGGCCACCACATTCTACCTCATATCCCGCTGAAGTCATTTCCAGGTGAGACCCACTGGGATTCCCAGCTTTTTGGAGGTTTCGAGGTACTTTATATCTAGTTTGAATTGACAGACAGGATTCATTGCTGCAACTGGGCACAACTGGGCTCAAGAAGATTGAGATAGAGCTAGAAAGATGACAGACACCAAACACCATCTTTGTTTCTATTGATCCGAGTTTCATCACACATAGATTTCAGAGCTAATTTCCTTGGAAGTCACTATGTGCTCGGCAGAATTTTAGAGAATTCGCATCAAACTGGTTCTCTGTTGGAGAGGCCCTTGTAGCCATGTACCTGCGTTGGCCTTTTTCTATCCTGCCAAACAATGAGCCTTTTCTAAAGGTCCATGCTCACAGACAAGGAGAGAGCTCCTAGAAAGAAATGCTTCTGTGAGTTAGTGATGGAGAGAGAAGTGCAGGAATAGAACCCTGCATCCACCTGTTCTGGTCCACCCAAGTCTTTCCTCAGAGAACACACTTCCTTCCAAAGCCCTCAGGAAAATATCTAATGTAGTGGTTCATAGTCCAGGCCTCACATTAGAATCACCTGGGAGCTTCTAAAGCCCTGATGCCTTCAAACACCATGGAGTAGGGTTAGGTCAATGAAAGTTTGCTCAAGTGATTTTAATATATAGTTAGGACTGAGATCAGCTCATCTAAAGCAACTGTTCCCAAATAGAATCACCTGGAGGGCTCTTCCAAGCACAGATTGCTAGGCCCCACCCTCCTTATTTCTCATTCAATAGGTGCTATGGCTTGAATGTCCTGTCCAAAACTCATATTGAGATTAATCTCCAATGAGGCAGTAATGAAGAGGTGGGACCTTTAAGAGGTGACTGAGTCATAAGGGCTCTGCCCTCATGAACGGATTAACCTATTTGTGGATTAATGAGTTGGATTACTGAGTTATCACAGGAGTGGAATTGGTGGCTTTATAAGAAAAGGATAGAGACCTGAGTTAACATGTTAGCATGATTGCCTCCCTCACCATGCCATACCGTGTGCTGTCCTGGGACTCTTCGGAGAGTCCACACCAGCAAGAAGGCTCTCAGTAGATACAACCCCTCAACCTTGACTTCTCAGCTGCCACAACTGTGCACCAAAATAACTTCCTTCCCCTAAAAAACATTCAGTTTCAGATATTTTGTTAAAAGCAATAGAAGACAAACTAAGACAGTAGGTCTGCATGAGGCTGAAAATGTGCATTTCTAACACCAGGAGATGCAGATGCTGCTGGCCATGTGACCACACTTTGAGAACCAATAATCTAAAGATTTTTTCAAGCAACCCCCATCAATGGCAAATACTTTATAAAGTCATGTGTTTTCGGGAAGTGTAAAAGTAGTAACTAGAAAAGGACACAGAGAAGCTTGTCTGTGATTAACCACCAGGAAATCACTTACTACAACACGGAAACCAACTCCTATGTGCCTGGTTTTTAGTCCTAGTTTTCGTTTACTTTTGGAAAATAAGATTGCTTAATAGTATTCTATTACACAATTACAATAATAGTACTTCATAATGTGCTTAAGAAATATTTAAGAGTATCTGATAAGTGATTTTTTTTTTGAAACAGAATCTGTCACCCAGGCTGGAGTGCAATGGCAAAATCTCAGCTCACTGCAGCCTCCACAACCTCTGTCTCCCGGGTTCAAGCGATTCTCCTGCCTCAGTCTCCCAAGTAGCTGGGATTAAAAGTGCACCACCAGCCCTGGCTAATTTTTGTACTTTTAGTAGATACAGAGTTTCATCATGTTGGCCAGGCTGGTTTCAAACTCCTGACCTCAGTTGACCCACCTGCCTCAGCCTGCCAATGTGCTGGGATTATAGGCGTGAGCCACCACGCCCAGCCTAATATGGATGTTACAGTGTTATTATATAGTCTAATATAGTATAATGGGTAGCCAGAAGCCAGTATTTTGTCCTGCTGTATTCATCACCATTTGTTTGTCTCTGATAGATAAAAGCTACAAGCTGCAGCCTCTGAAATTAAAATCAACCCCTTTGGTCCTGTTTTTTGTTTTTTTTGTTTTTTTTTTTTTTTTGGTGTGGAGACAGAGTCTTACTCTGTCACCCAGACTAGAATGTAGTGACACAGTCAGGGCTCACTGCATTCTTTACCTCCCAAGCTCAGCCACCTAAGTAGCTGAGACCACAGGCATGTGCCACTGTGCCCAGGTAATTTTTGTATTTTTTTGTACAAAAAATACAGGGTTTCTCTCTGCTGCTCAGGCTGGTCTCAAACTCCTGGGCTTAATCAACCCACCTAGGCCTCCCAAAGTGCTGGGATTACAGGCCCCCAACGAGTGCTTTACTCCTATAGAGGAGAAGAGGCAAAACAAATCGACTCCAGAAAGGAAAAGCTGGCAATGAAATTTTAGTGAAATTAGCTTCACATAGTTGCTCTGGAGCTCACAGACCTCTCCTTTTCCCCCGAAGGTATTGAGAGATTCAAAGGCCAATATTTCCATAGCCGCCAATACAAACATCCAGACGGATTTGAGGGGAACCGCATCCTGGTGATTGGAATGGGAAACTCAGGCTCAGATATTGCTGTTGAGCTGAGTAAGAAGGCTGCTCAGGTGCGATGCTCTCTGCTTATCATGTACCTGGAGGGGAGACCGTGGGAGTGCAATACTGGAGAACCCCAGCCACATAATCACAGCTCCAATCCTCATTAACTAGTTGGTTGGTGACCCATTGTGGCATCATAGAAAATCCCGAAGTCAAGAAACCAGTTTACCTCCTACCTCTGTCACTAATCAGCTCTGTATCCTAGAGTAATTCATTTCACTTCTCTGGGTGATGGTTCCCTCATTTTTAAAGTGGGAAGTTTTGACCAGATGATTTTCCACACAAGCGGCCTTTGTTACTGAGTACATTGGTGTGAACACAGCTTACTACAGCCTTGACCTCCTGGATTCCAGTGATCCTCTCATCTCAGTCTCCTGAGTAGCTGGGACTACAGGCACATGCCATACCACACCCAGGTAATTTTTGTGTTTTTTTGTAGCAATGGGGTCTCACCATGTTGCCCAGGCTGGTTTCAAACTCTTAAACTCAAGCAATCTCCCTGCCTCAGCCTCCCAAAGTGCTAGGATTACAGGCATGCACCACCACCACCCCACCCAGCTAAGAGGCCTGGTTTCTACCTGAGTGCTTAATGAGAAGTTAATCTGTTCATTTTCTGGAGGGTGGCTTTTAGAAATTTAGTGCATATTTGAATTATATTTGAAATAAAGAGAATCCTCAGTTACCCAAATATTATGAAAAGAAAGATTAAATAGATAGTAGGTCTCCCAACTAAAATCACAGATATTTAGGTGCTTCCTGAGGCCTTCTAACCACGGTCATCTTGCACCTGCTCAGGAATCACACCAGCTGAGCTGCCAAAGAGTCAAACATTACACGATGCTGCTGCTGACAGTGGCGGTCAGGAATAACAAAAAATAAACTCCGTCTGCAAGGACAGACCTAGGCTAAGAAAGGAAAACGGCTAAAGGTCCTCTCCCAAAACATCCCTCCCCTCAACAAGGTCTGAAACAGATACCCAGTCACTCTTACACTAGCTCTTTCAGCCTGGTATCTCTGGCCACCCAGGACTTACCATGGCCAGGTGCACAACCAGCAAATCTTTTCCATCCCAAGTCTTACCCTTTCAGGACTCTAGACACCCAGTAGCAAAGTGACAAGCAAACATGACACTTGCCCAGCAGGTTAATGGGCCCCATCATAGTCATCTATCAGTCAGTCAGTGCCAGCCTAAGAACAGAGCAGAACAGAAAGATTTATTAGACCCAATAAGTCTTCACTTTTTGTGAAAATAAACCTTTTCATTTATCACCTCAATGTGAAGAACAAGTGAGGAGGCAGGAACTGTGAAAGCTTGGAGCAGAGCAGAGCCAGAAAGTGAGAGTACCAGCTCTAGCAAGACTCTGTCTCAGCACCAGGTGTTCATGCTGGGAACTCCTGCAAAGCCTTAGGAACAGTATGTAGTGGAGCAATATGTGAGGAGCTGATGTGGTAGTCAGCCAAGTGAAGATCCGTCCTAGACTCCTACATGTTGTCAGACCAGTGATATTGACTTAGAACTTAGATCTCTTCATTCCAAAGATGTCAAATCTTAGATTGCAAGAACCAGTTCCCTGTATAGGTCTTGTCCTACAGAAAGCCTTACAGTGTCAGATTCAATATTAAGAAACTATCTTGTCTCTATTTGCATGCCTTATAGCTCCTTAAACAATCTTTTGCACCAAGTGCAAAAGACTTTGTTGCAGTCTTCCTCCATTAGTGTAAATGCCACCAGGTGCCCCGTTTCTAGGAGGTACTTCACTTTGAGGTCAGTCATCTCTAAAACAGAGCCTTAGTAAATTCTGGGGGTATGTATGTGATACAACACCTACATAGTAGATTCCTCCTAAATTTAATATTATAATCATACATTTCCAAGGATTATAATCATTCACCTGCACTAATCTCTTCAATATTTATTAGAGTAACAACATAAATCTATAACTATGATAAAAACCTTTTACACAGAGTAAGGTACTATCAAGCCTTCTGTGGAAAGACTTACCAAAGGCTTTACAGGAGATATATATGCTAGAAATTGAACTAGGTACGTCTGGAAAACTTGAAATTACAACCTGAACTCACCAAAATTCTGAGCGTGCACTGCACTGTCAAACGAAATTCACCTTCATAAAGATACAGTACCCTCTATCACAGTCCAGAAGCACCACTTGAGAGCATATTGGCTGGTGCTGCATATTGTATTAGTCCATTCTCACGCTGCTATAAAGAAATACCCAGGACTGGGTAATTTATAAAGAAAAGAGGATTAATTGACTCACAGTTTGGCATGGCTGGGGAAGCCTCAGGAAACTAACAATTGTGGTAGAAGACACCTCCTTACGAGGGTGGCAGGAGAGGGAATGAGAGCGAAGGAGAAACCCCTTCAGACTGAAGGGGTTCAGTCTGAAATCCATCAGACCTCGCGAGAACTTACTATTACGAGAACAGCATGGTGGAAACCTCACCTGTGATTGAATTGTCTCCACCTGGTCCTGCTCTTGACACGTGGGGGGATTATTACAATTCAGGTGAGATGTGGGTGGGGACACAAAAGCAAACCATATCAGTCATTTACATACTTCTGACCAAAAAACAAACCTCTGGCCTTTGACCTAAAGCATATGTCTCAGAGAAAGCAGCCTGAACCCAAATCCTCATGTTTCTCTCACCGTTGTACCTAGCGTGAATAGGCAGGTTACACACCCCTGCAATAGGGACGGTCACAACAGAAAGAAAGTTAAACAGGCAGAGCATTTCATTTGAAACATGGTTTCTTCCTGAGGAAGAGGTGGGGACAGTAAGTAACGGAAAGAGACACTAATGGAAATATTTTAGTATCTAATATCTAATCAAAATATTGCCAAGTCAGCCTAAAAGCAACAGCAAGAGAAATTCAAAACAGGTATATACCACACACAGACCAGCAATACAGGAATGCTTGCTGTAGGTGCTACTTCACAAGCTAAAACTTTTGTCTCACAAAATTTGTCTCCAAATTCTGGTTCACTCCAGATATGAGGCACTGTGTGAAACCCCTCTCTTCCAGCCTAAGTTTACAAACTAACAGCTAGAAGTACTTATCACTTGCCAGGCAATATTTAAAGTACTTTATATGTACCACCTCATTTAATCTAGACAAGAATGCCATGAGATAGGTACTGTTAATACCCCCCTATTACAGAAAGAGAAACTGAGGCACAGAGCGATTGAAATAATTCACCCATGGCCACATAGCTTGAAATAATTCCCCCCAGAGTAGTGGGATTGGTATTCAAACCCAATCAGTCTGTATTCAAATCTTTTAAGTGAATTGGTTTCCTTACAGGTGAATCTTAGGTGCTTATTAAGTACAGCCTTAAACAAAAACTCACCGGATGGTATGTAAAAATTTAAGAAGCAGTTCAAATACGCATTTGGACAATGAGGGAGTAACAGTAAGCACAGCAAAATACATATTTGAAAAGAGATTAAATGTACATTTTGGAAACAAGGGAAATCTTAGTAAACAAGGTAAACAATACCTCTGAAAGGGGATTCAGATGTACGCTTTAAGAGACAGAGAATCACAGTATAAGTTCAGAGTTTTCAACTTTTAAAATACATAACAGGCTCTGTGGCTCATGCCTGTAATCCCAGCACTTTGGAAGGCTGAGGTGGGAGGATTGCTTAAGCCCAGAAATTGGAGACTGACCTGGGCAACATAGTGGGACCCTGTCTCTGCAAAAATATTGTTTAAATTAGCCACATGTGGTGGTACCTGTCTGAGGCTGAGGTGGGAGGATCACTTGAACCTTGGAGGTCGAGACTGCAATGAGCCATTACTGCACAACTACAGTCCAGCCTGAGTGACAGAGCAAAACCCTCTCTTTCTCTCTCTCTCTCTCTCTCTCTCTCTCACACACACACACACACAAATAATAAAGGTCTTTTAAGTATGGAAGGAAGATTATTTTCCTTGTTATTCTCCATCCAGGTATATTCAGATGCAAACATTTATACTTGTGTAGTCCACTAGGCTACAATCATACATTTCTAAGGATTATCATTCTACCTGCACTATAGAAGAAACAGGTGGGTGGAAAACATGAGAGGAGGGAGGAAGGAACATTCTCTTAAGGAGCAAATCACAACTGTAAACACGGGAAAGACTTGTGGATCTTATCATCAGCATGAGCCCAAAGACTTTCTCATATCTCCACGAAGTTCTCAAGACTTTGTTGCAGTCTTCCTCTATCAGTGCAAATGCCATGGGGACCCCTATTCAGGAGCTACTTTACGTTTGAGGTCAATCACCTTTAAAACAGAACCTCTTTTGTGAGGCCGAGGCGGGTGGATCACGAGGTCAAGAGATCGAGACTATCCTGGTTAACATGGTGAAACCCCGTCTCTACTGAAAATACAAAAAATTAGCTGGACATGGTGGCGCATGCCTGTAATGCCGGCTACTCAGGAGGCTGAGGCAGGAGAATTGCCTGAACCCAGGAGGCGGAGGTGAGCCAAGATCGCGCCATTGCACTCCAGCCTGGGTGACAAGAGCGAAACTCCGTCTCAAAAAAAAACAAAAAAAAAAAAAAACAGAACCTCTGTAAATTCTGGGGCTACATATGTGACACATTACCTTCACAGTAGATTCCTCCTAAATGGGACAATGCCCTAATTTAAACTGCATTTATTTTTGCTTTCCAGGTTTTTATCAGCACCAGACATGGCACCTGGGTCATGAGTCGTATCTCTGAAGATGGCTATCCTTGGGACTCGGTGTTCCACACGCGGTTTCGCTCAATGCTCCGCAACGTACTGCCACGAACAGTTGTAAAACGGATGATAGAACAACAGATGAATCGGTGGTTCAACCATGAAAATTACGGCCTTGAGCCTCAAAACAAGTAGAGTTATTTTGCTTTTTTTAATGGCATACTTGGTGAGCAAGGTTGTCTGAAGGTGCCTCCCTTAACAAAGATCCAAATAGCTAATACAGTAGTTCAAACTACAACCCAACAGTATGAGTACCTTATGGGTCCTGGAGTTTGGATTCCAAATTTGTTCTGTATACCTTTAAAAATTACTTAAGAAGGGCCGGGCGGGGTGGCTCATGCCTGTAATCCCAGCACTTTGGGAGGCCGAGGCGGGTGGATCACGAGGTCAAGAAATCGAGACCATCCTGGTCAACATGGTGAAACCTTGTCTCTCCTAAAAATACAAAAATTAGCTGGGCATAGTGGCGTGTGCCTGTAATCCCAGCTACTCAGGAGGCTGAGGCAGGAGAATTGCCTGAACCCAGGAGGCGGAGGTTGCGCTGAGCCGAGATCGCGCCATTGCACTCCAGCCTGGGTAACAAGAGCAAAACTCCGTCTCAAAAAAAAAAAAAAAAAATTACTTAAGAAGATGAAGCAGAACTGTTATAAGCTGCTCCAGAAGGCAAAACTGGGGAAAAACTTTCTAATGCCCAGAGTTATCTAACATTGGAGAAAACTGCTTCAAGAGACTATGACCTGCCTTTCAGAGGGGTGCAGAGGGAAACATGTAATTCTCCATCTAATAATTTATGCTTTGCTAGCCCTATACCATGAAGGTTCTTCCCTTGGGCAACCTTTGAAAACACATTCCTTTTTCTTTGCTAAAAGAAATCTCTGTTGACGTCAAAGTTATATGTCAGTGATTTAAGCACAAGCAAATGTTATGAATGTTTCTTTTGCTTTAGTTGTTACAGGCTTCGTCCCTTAAAAAACAAAAGAGCTTTAGAATCTTTTAACAAATGCCTGCCATGTAACTACCATATTCTAAGATCTGACATAAGTGCCATGTGCTTTATTAGAAAAAAAAAAAAGAAAATATTCTCAAATCTAAAAATATATATCTGTAAGTGGACTTTGCATCAATATCCATGCTTTTCCTAACAGGGACTCCATGGACATTTGGGATTGACAAATATCACCAAACCTAATTTTGTACATTAATTTTCACATTGATCCCTTCAAAGATTTCATAACTAGCAGAAATTTAGCAAATTTTTTCTTACTTATGATCTAATAGGGGTTAAATAAAACAGCAAAATAATAAAAGCTAGATAGCATGAAAAAGGTCAGAAACAGAAATGGTATAATAACCACCATAATACTCTGGGATTCACCATTGGCACAGGCATTTTGTCTCAACCCTTGGAGATGCTTCCATCTTTAAAATCTCTTTAACTCACATTGCCTCCATGTTTTCCCTTATTTGTTGAAGGGAGATATTTGTGACATTTAAGTCAGAAAATAAGGATTGGCACAGACAACCAATTAAGTTAGAGTTTTACAGGTATTTTAAAAGACCTTTTATGTTCAGAGCCATAACACAAAAATATCAAGAGGGTTCAAGATTCCTCAGCAAATGATCCTTCTGAATGTTTTTCTTCTGTATGCCTCAGATATGTTATGAAGGAACCTGTACTAAATGATGATCTCCCAAGTCGTCTACTCTATGGAGCCATCAAGGTGAAATCTACAGTGAAAGAGCTCACAGAAACTTCTGCCATCTTTGAGGATGGAACAGTGGAGGAGAATATTGATGTCATTGTTTTTGCAACGGGATATACTTTCTCTTTTCCCTTCCTTGAAGATTCACTTGTTAAAGCAGAAAATAATATGGTCTCACTGTATAAATACATATTCCCCCCTCACCTGGAGAAGTCAACCCTTGCATGCGTTGGTCTCATCCAGCCCCTAGGTTCCATTTTCCCAACTGCTGAACTTCAAGCTCGTTGGGTGACACGCGTTTTCAAAGGTAAGTGTGTGGGCAGGTGACTGCCTAAGGGCTTCAGATCTGGCGAAGTTTGTTCAATAGTGATCAGAAGGTTACCTGAGATAAGAAGGTTGTCAAGAAAACATTTGACAACCTTGGCTGCTCCCACAAGATTAACATTCTAAAAAGTTAATGGAGAATTCAAAGAATAACAAATACAGGAATTTAGTAATAATAAATATCTGCAATCATCCCTTTAAAATATTAGACAGACAAGAGAATTTCAACTAGTATAAAGCTAAGTACATATTAAATTTTCTTTGAATCATGAGAGATTAGTTTAAGAAAAACATCTATGTATCCTGGTTTTACCTATGCTGTGTTTAAAAATTCCTCAGCATATGTGCAAATCAATTTAACTCCTAATACCTGAGCAGCTCAACCTCACAAATGACTACAAGTTATAAAATTATTGAAAAGTTTCTTTCTGAGTGTCTATATAGCACTTCATACTCCTCAGAAGGCTGTTATTTCCCTGCTTCCAGGGTTCAATTATGTTTAGAAAAAGTTTACTCAATACCTAGCCCTGTGCTGGGAACTGGTGGGACAGAGAGAAATTTAAACAGATCATTTCAACATAATATGACAGATGCTTTGATTGAGTGATATACGGAGTGCTCAGGGAAGGAGAGAAAGGGCACTTACCACAGTAGAACAAGGGGAGGGCACATGATAAAGGAAAACTTCCTAGATAACTGCATTTTCTCAGGGGCAGAAAAGGGGACTGCCTGAGCAAAAGCATAGAGGCAATGATGCATACAGAAAGGCACATGCTATTTTACATTCCTAGAGCATGACCTATGAGACAAAGATTGATGAGAGATTACTCTTGGAGAAGAAGGAGACGGGATACAGGAATTCTTAAGACATGCTATGGCACTTACATTATAAAATATAGATCAATTCTTCCCAAATATGGCTACACATGAAAATCATCTGATGAATCCTTAGGGACCCTGAGGGTAAGACTGGCTGGAGAACCTGGAATCTGATTTTAGAAAACTCTTCAGCCAGGAACACTAATGAAGCAAAAAATAGGCATTAGCAGATTTACACTTTAGATAGATTGTTTCAGCAGTAGTGTGGAATACAGAGTTGAAAATGGGGAAACACTATAGCCTCAAGGATGAAAGAGAAGGCTACATTTACCTATGCTAAAATATGATGCATATTGGGCCAGGGCAGAGATATAAAGTGGAAAGGAAGCCATAAATATGAGAAATCATTAAGGAAAAATCAGCAGGATGTCATGATTGGTTCAATCTGGGAAAGTCAGAGAAAGCGAGAGGAAGCAAGGAGGACTTACAGATCTCTGGCACTGGAAACTGGGTGGACAATGGTGCTGTGAATAAAGAGGGGGTGTGCAGAAGATGATGCAAGTCTGGACAAGAGGGCTTCAGTGAGGAGCTCAGGTTTAGACTACTTAAATATGAGATATCTGATGACTCTAAGTAAGGGGACTTGACTACATTTCAACACATCCAAAGCTCAGAGGACACTTGTGGGCAGGCAACGGAGTCATGAGCACACACTAATAACTCTTGCATCTATCTTTCTCTATCTCTACTGCCCTACTCTCATCTCACAGCAGGTTTATGTCAACAGCCTCTTTACTGGTCTCCCCAAGTTTGGTCTTGCATCCCTGGAGTCCATTTTCCTAAATTCAGCGGCCAGACAGATCGTTCCAAACCATTAAGTCTGGTCTTCTCATCTCATGCAGAAAACTCCTCCACAGCCTCCTGCCACCTTGAGGATAGAGCCCAAACCACCAGACATGGCTGCCAAGCTCCCAGACACACTTCCCTTTTCCAGCCTCTTCTCTTGGCCCTCTCCATCTCGTAGTCCCACTGTAGACTGTGCTCCCTGGACAGTGTCACATAGAGTGCTATGGGAGTGGCACCCCCTGACGTTCAACAGCACAGAAGCCCTGACTGGCATGACAGGGTTCAATGGCCAGAGTTTAATCTTAAGAATCAACAAGATAAAGTAATCATATTGACTCAAACTTACTATTCAAACCAACCTTTTATTCCTTAGGCTTGTGTAGCCTGCCCTCAGAGAGAACTATGGTGATGGACATGATCAAAAGGAATGAAAAAAGAATTGACCTGTAAGATTTTTTTTAATTCTTTACATGGAGCAGTGTTTCTCGAAGTATAGTGATCTAACTACTTACAAGAACCACCTAGCTCCCTGATAAAATGCACATTTCTGAGCTATAGCCCAGATGATTAAATCAGAAATTATATGTGGAGGCTAAAAATTTGCATTTTTATCTTCTTCCTAGGTGATTCTTATACATTCTAGGTTAAGAACCAAATACTTAAAGATAAGAATTGTACCAAATAAGAGCATTTCTCCTTGGCTTAATTTCATTTCAGTTTTATATGATGGCCATGTCAGATTCCATAACTTCTCAAGCCACCTACACTCTGTGATTAGAGAGGGAATGGGATGACACAGTGGTGGTGATAGTAGCCTGAGTATCTATGAAAAGTTAGCCAGAGAATCCCCATCAAAATAAATTAGGAAGGGGTTGGTGTGAAATTGTACTTTGCGATGAGGTGCAATGGGGTTCAACAGTGATTGAGCACTCTTGGAAAGTTGATTTGGGGCTTACATCAGGGTAAGAAATTATCTCATGTTCAAATTCAAATTTACCTAACATTTATTGAGTATCTACTATATGCCATCCAGACTGCCAGGTACTTTAGTAATTTAACAAGCAAATATTAAGCCTCTCCTCTGAGCAAGACACCAAGCTATGCTTTCATATGCATTACCTCATGAATCCCTACAGCCATCCTAACTCCTACATTCTTGCCTGGAGATTTGCCACTGCTTAAAAAAATGCCAAATAATGGTTATTAATCTTGTCACAGTTCTAGAGTGTCCAAGAATCCATGGCTCTTTATTTGAGGGCCTATTCTCAATCTGAGATATGCGCCTTCTGGTGCAATAAACTCATACTTCCCACCAGAGATTCATTCAAAACTTATTCATGTATTCACTCATTCCTTTATTCCTTTAGCAGTTTCGAATGCCTAATATTCTAGATAACTTAGAACATTTTGTGAATATTCCCTTTTTACTTTCTTCACTAAGGTTTGGAAAAAGCCAGAGCCAGACGTTGCAGACTAATTACGTTGACTACTTGGATGAGCTCGCCTCAGAGATAGGTGCAAAGCCAGATTTCTGCTCTCTCTTGTTCAAAGATCCTAAACTGGCTGTGAGACTCTATTTTGGACCCTGCAACTCCTATCAGTATCGCCTGGTTGGGCCTGGGCAATGGGAAGGAGCCAGGAGTGCTATTTTCACCCAGAAACAAAGGATACTGAAGCCGCTGAAGACTCGGTCCCTCAAGAATTCATCTAATTTCCCAGCTTCCATTCTTTTGAAAATCCTGGGCCTTCTTGCTGTTGTGGTGGCCTTTTTTTGCCAACTTCATTGGTCCTAGTCAGCATAATGCTTTGGGATTTATTATCTTGTCAGTCACTACCTCTTAAAAAAAAAAAGACTAAAAGAAAAAAATATTAAATTCATCTTCTAATTATAAATTTTAGAGTTAGGTAAACAAGTGAGAGGGGGAATTGTAGAGAATTAGCAGAAATATGTCTATGTACAAAACCAAAATTATGTCATGAAATTTCTTTGCCATTCCACGTTTCCCTCAGTTCATCAGAGTCACCAAAAAATAAAATAAAATAATACCGTCTCATGTAAATAGTGCTGCCAACCCGGATATAGGAGAGTTGTATGGAAAAATAGTAGAATTACACAGCATGAAAAGCAGCCTATGGTTTAAATTATTGGACAATTTAAATTGTGGGTAAATATTTAAAATTCCTGAACAATGTTTTTGATGGTCTTCTATCCGCCCTACCTGGTAACAATGTTCTCAAGATGTGAGAAGGTTGTTACCAGGTAGAGCGGATAGAAGACCACCATGTTTCCTTTGCTCCATGGGGATCACTCAAAACTACTCTAGAAAAAGTGAGAGGACAGACTTAGGAAGCATCAGTAATGCTCAGATGAACTTTTAGGACCTCATCTTAAGATGAGGCTGTTTGCTTAGCTCAGCCACATTTCCTAGATTTTGACAGAAATACTGCTGGAAAAAATAAAATTAAAATGCCATAATAGCTACTTAACAAATATGTATATATTTAATACTTATCATAGACCAGACATTGTGCTTTGGGCACATCATATGTATTATTTCATTTAATTCTCCCAACAATTCTGTGAGGTGGGTACAGCTATTAAAGTCATTTCACAGATAATGAAACTAAGATTCTGAGCAGCTGATCTTGCAAGGCAGCTGGAATTGGAAACCAGGTTTGTTGGACTATAGACCTAAAGATTATAACCTTGTCCTGTAAAACATTTACAAAACAATGCATTAGTTATAAAGAATTTACTAACAGTTTTATTTATACTCATGTATCTGTTACTTTGGGAGGCCTTTTACATAGGAATCTGCATTCTTTTGCTAAGTATAACCAAATTACTTTTATTTATAATTTTTGGTTTATATTTCAGCTGGATCTAAAAAGCAACAATGAAAGATACCTATGCAATAACATTTAAGATAATCTTTGACATTTTGGAAAAATAAGAATTGAGGGAAAAAAATGTTATCTCCCAAGTAGATGCACAGCAGTATAATGATTGACACTTGTATCTGACTCCAGTCTTACAGATGACCAAGGCAAAAAAGCTAAACCATATGTAACCTCTAACATTTATAAAAGGAAGTATACTACTCTGTCAGGAGAGACAAACTTTTTTTAGAAATGAAGTCTAAAACAAAAACAAGCAATTCAATGTCAATATACATTGGGCAACAGAACAGACAAACATCTGCTTAGGGAACATTTGTTACAGCTGCTCTTTCCATGAACTGCACTTTGGAAGAGAAGCTCTGTTATGAGCTCAAACCAAGCCCTTCATAGAGAGAACAAAGGTCAGAGATGTTGAAGATTTCAGCAAATTTCTCTTCTTATTTCTGCCAAGCCTTAGTGATAAATCTATGATGAGTTTTGAAACATAATTTCTCTCTCTCTCTTTGCAGTCCTCATTTTTGTTAAGAAACAAATGATTATAGGAATTAGTCTATTTATAGACTTTAGTCTTATACTTGGCCTGATTGTTTGCATAAATTGCAACAAGAATAATTATTTCAACATAGACCTTTTAGATTGGCTTTGATGGAAGTCTGTTCCACAAGGAGTCTCAGATAAGACCTTTTTGCTTTGTTTTTTTTGAGACGGAATTTCGCTCTTGTTACCCAGGCTGGAGTGCAATGGCGCGATCTCAGCTCACCGCAACCTCTGCCTCCTGGGTTCAGGCAATTCTCCTGCCTCAGCCTCCTGAGTAGCTGGGATTACAGGCACGCGCCACCGTGCCCAGCTAATTTTTTGTATTTTTAGTAGAGATGGGGTTTCACCATGTTGACCAGGATGGTCTCGATCTCTTGACCTCGTGATCCACCCACCTCGGCCTCCCAAAGTGCTGGGATTACAGGCATGAGCCACCGCGCCTGGCTCAGATAAGACCTTTTAAAGCTGAGCTCATCCATGGGTTTGCATCCTTAAACACCTGTAAGTTGGGTGATTCTCTCCTCTTAGGGTCCTAAGATAAACTTGGAGCTCCTAGACCTATTAGAAACTGACATTCTTTACTGACGACAGGTCAGGAACCCTGTACAGGGACTCTGTAGACACGGGTATGAGGCCAGTTTTCAACTGGGCTTTTATTAGCTCTGTAAAGTTGAGATTGACTCCTTAAAGGGAAGCATACCCTTCCAGTCAAAGCTTTGGTAAAATAACCACTTTCTTAAATTATGTCCTGTTGCAAAAGGAAAGTGGATTTTTATTGCACTGATGCAAACAATTATATTGCCATAAGTTCAGAATACTCACAGATAGGCTATAAATAGGTCTTATTGGGTGAAAATGAAGAAAAAAAGGAAACAGGAACTCTCCACAAAGCCAGAGTCCCCTGCTAGCATGCTTCCCACCTGGCGATTCAAATTCCAGGTTTCATACAGGAAGAGAAAGGACCAGGCTCCTCCCCACTGCAAAAGGTGCAAATTTTCTAGCCTCCACCCCAGTGCACAGGCTGGTTGGAGTTTTTCTGGGGACCTCCTCCCACCCGGCTGTCTCAATGCTACTCCACTATTGCCTCCCCAGCCTCTAATAGTTGAAATTCCATCCTTCCCACAGGTCAAATGCTGTTCTCCCTCAAGCTTTCCTGAGTCCCTCCAGCCCGAAATAGTCTCCTCTGCTTCTGCATTACCAAAATATTTTGTTTTGACTCTGCAATAACGTTTACCTTCTTGCCTTCTGGGACTTTTTGCTTCTCATGTGGGCATTTATTGCTATAAATTTCCCTCTAGTCACTGCCTTAAATGTGTCCCAGAGATTCTGGTATGTTGTGTCTTCCTTCTTATTGGTTGCAAAGAACATCTTTATTTCTGCCTTCATTTCATTGTTTATCCAGCAACATTCAGGAGCAAGTTGTCCAGTTTCCATGTAATTGTGCAGTTTTGAGTGAATTTCTTCATCTAGAGTTCTAATTTGATTACACTGTGGTCTGATAGGCTGTTCATTATGGTTTCTGTTCTTTCGCATTTGCTGAGGAGTGATTTACTTCCAATTATGTGGTCAATTTTAGAGTAAGTGCAATGTGGTGCTGTGAAGAATGTATATTCTGTGGATTTGGGGTGGAGAGTTCTGTAGATGTCTATTAGGTCGACTTGGTCCAGATCTGTGTTCAAGTCCTGGATGTCCTTATTGATTTTTTTGTCTCATTGATCTGTCTAATGTTGACAGTGGAGTGTTAAAAGTCTCTCACTATTATTGTGTGGGGGTCTAAGTCTCTTTGTAGGTCATTAAGAACTTGATTTATGTATATGGGTGCTCCTGTATTGGGTGCATATATATTTAGGAGAGTTGCATTGATCCCTTTACCATTATGTAATGCATTTCTTTGTCTCTTTTGATCTTTGTTGGTTTGAAGTCCATTTTATCAGAGACTAAGATTGCAACTCCTGCTTTTTTTTTTCTGCTCTCCATTTGCTTGGTAAATCATCTTCCATCCCTTTATTTTGAGTCTATGTGTGTCTTTGCACATGAGATGAGGCTCCTGAATACAGCACACGGATGGGTCTTGACTTTTTATACAGTTTGCCAGTCTGTGTCTTTTGATTGAGGCATTTAGGCCATTCACATTTAATATTAATATTGTTATGTGTGAATTTGATCCTGCCATTTTGTTACTGGCTGGGTTTTTTGCTCATTAGTTGATGTGGCTTCTTCATTGCATCTTTGGTCTTTACCATTTGGTACATTTTTGGAGTGGCTGGTACTGACTGTTCCTTTTCATGTTTAGTGCTTCCTTTAGAAACTCTTGTAAGGCAGGTCTGGTGGTGACAAAGTCTCTCAGTAGTTGCTTGTCCATAAAGGATTTTATTTCTCCTTCACTTATGAAGCTTAGTTTGGCTGGATTTGAGATTCTGGGTTGAAAGTTCTTTTCTTTAAGAATATTGAATATTGGCCCCCACTCTTTTCTGGCTTGCAGGGTTTCTGCCAAGAGATCTGCTGTGAGTCTGATGGGCTTCCCACCCTTTCTCTCTGGCTGCCCTTAGCATTTTTCTTTAACTTCAACCCTGGTGAATCTGACCATTATGTGCCTTGGGGTTGTTCTTCTTGAGGAATATCTTTGTGGTGTTCTCTGTATTTCCTGGATTTGAATGTTAGCCTACTTTGCTAGGTTGGGGAAGTTCTCCTGGATAATATCCTGAAGAGTATTTTCCAGCTTGGATTCATTCTCCCCTTCACATTCAGGTACACTGATCAAATGTAGATTAGGTCTTTTCACAAAGTCCCATATTTCTTGGAGGCTTGGTTCATTTCTTTTTACTCTTTTTTCTCTAGTCTTGCCTTTTTGTTTTATTTCATTGAGTTGATTTTCAACCTCTGATATCCTTTCTTCTGCTTAATCAATTTGGCTATTGAAACTTGTGTACACTTTATGAAGTTCTCATGCTATGGTTTTCAGCTCTATCATGTCATTTATGTTCTTCTCTAGTGTGGTTATTCTGGTTAGCATTTCGTCTAACCTTTTTTCAAGGTTTTTAGTTTCTTTGCATTGGGTTAGAACATGCTCCTTTAGCTCAGAGAAATTTGTTATTACTTACCTTCTGAAGCCTGCTTCTGTCAATTCATCAAACTCATTCTCCATCCTGTTTTGTTCCCTTGCTGATGAAGAGTTGTGATCCCTTGGAGGAGGAGAAGGAGAGGTCTCTGGTCTTTGATGGTTTCATCCTTTTTGCACTGGTTTCTTCCCATCTTCATGGATTTACCTAGCTTTGATCTCAGGGAGCCGCTTGATCGTGTAGTCTTTCCCTTGCCTGCCTGTAGAGGCACTGCTGGGCTGTCATGGATGCAGTCCGGCTGCTGTTCAGGCTTCCTGTGACTATTGTTTACACCAGGAGATTAGGCCCGCCTCTGTATTGGTCAATGCCCTTCCCCCCACCTAGCTCAGTCCTTCTGGGTCAAGCTCAAATTGATGAGCTGGCTGTAAAGCAAGAGGGCTTCAGCCTGCTGGGCTTTGTGGGGGGAGGGACCCACCTAGCCTATCACCTGCATCCCTGCTTTTAGCACCCCCTCTCTCCAGGGGGCCAGTAGCTCTCCTAGTCAGCCAGTGCAACCACCTAGATCTGTTCTGACAATCTGTGACACCGACTGGAGCTGCTATTCAGCTCTATGCTGGTAATTCGGGCACTTTTCAGCCTGGCAAAAATTTCCTGGTCTGTGGGTTGCAGAGGCTTTGGGAGAAGTGCAGTATCTGGACTGGTGTGCTGGCAGGGGGAAGCCTTTGATCCTCTGGTCAGATGCCCTTCTGGGGTGGAGCAGCACCCCTCCCTACCTCAGTTTGCCCTCTTTGAGCCATGCCCACTGTCCAACCAGTCCGATTTAAGTGAATCTGGTACTTTGTTTGGAGATGTGAAGATCACTCGCTTTCTGCATCTCTCTCACTGGAAGCTGTGCACCGGAGCTGTTTCAATTTGGCCATATTGGCAGAAGTACAAAATAAAAACTTTAGACAAGTTATTTAGCATAGTTTATTTGAGCAAACAAGTGATTCATGAAAATGGGCAGCACCCTAAACCAGTGAAGGTTCAGAAAACTTTACCTTGCAATCTGGGCAGTCTATATTCATAGATGGAAAAAGGAAGTGACATACAGAAATAGTCTGATTGGTTACAGCTTAGCACTTGCCTTTTTTGAATATATCTGAGCAGTTTGCAGCCTGTGATTGGCCAAAAGCTCAGCTGCTATGGTTAATTCAGACTCAGTAACTTGTTATAAGAATGTAGTCTTAAGGTAGGTTTCATATATATATATATGTATATACACATATATGTACA